TATTATTAAATATTAAATTTTATAAAAAGAAGTTAATAATAATACTAAAATACTTTTAAAATAAATATATTACTTTCTAAAGTTCTTAAATATCTTCTAGTTATAATAATATAATTAAAATAATATAAGTAATATTATCTTCTTTTATTAAAGAATAAGCTAATATAAAAAGTAAATAATAAATAATTCTAGTAGTTAAAGACTAAGAATAATATTTTTTTAATAAGGTTAGACCCTATTAGAGAATATAGTAGTAGTTAAGAATATTCTATTATATATAAAAAGAAGAGAGAAAGAAAGAAAAGGAAAAGAAGAAAAAAAAAACTTACTATTTTTTTTTAAAAAAAATTAGGTAAGAAAATACTAAATAAATAAATATAAAACTAGTTTAGTATTAATATAAGGCTAATAATAAATAAAAATTAAGTTAAAATATATATATTAGAATTATTATAAAATTATTATAAAATTAATTTAAAATAAAAATAAAGTTTAGTATTTTCTTTTAAGTATTATTCTAATAAGGTATTTATAAATTATTTTTATTATAATTCTAAAGTAAAGTTATTATAATTCTAATATTAATTCTAAAGTAAATTATTTATTCTAGTTTTATCTTAATTTTATTTTCATTTCTTATTAACTTTAATTTAATTTCTTAATTAAAACCCTCTTATTAAAATTCTTCTTCTTCTAATAAGCTATTATCTTAATTAGCTTATAATAAATAATTTTTATTATATTTAAGGAGGGGTTATATTTTAGAATTAGTTTAGTATTTTTTTAAATTTAATTTTAAACTTAAAAATATAAAAACCCTTAATAATATAGTTTATATATTATAGGTATTATTATTATTAATATTATCTTATTTATATTATTATCTTTATTATTATTATTTTTTAAATTAAAATAGTTATATATAATCGTTCTTTTTAATTAGAATTAATTTAGTAAAAGTTTAAAATTATTTTAGAATATACTTATAAAGTTTATAAAAATAATTCTATTAAGTCTAAGACTAGAATTATTATCTTTTATTAGAGATAATATAAATTTATTATTATTATTATTATTATTATTATTATTATTACTACTACTACTACTACTACTATTACCGCTACTGCCGTCGCTGCCGCCGTCGCTGCTGTTGCTGCCGTCGCTACCGCTATTACTGCTGTTGCTACCTTTATTATTAGTTAAGGGCTTAATAAACATAGGCTAGTAGTAAGGCATTATAAAACCTAGTTACTTCTTAGAATTAGCTCTAGTTTATTTTAAAGAACTTATAATAATAATTTTATATATTATAAAGATAGTTAAGAGTTATTATAAATAGCTTTATTATAAACTAAAATAGTAATTTACTATTATTTTTAGTTAATTATAAAAGTTAAGCTAAGTAATATATTATTATAATATTTTAATATTAGCTTAGAATTATTTTAATAATAGAATAAATTTAATTAAGGTAAATTATTTTAATAAGATTATTAAATTAATTTATATTTAATACTTATAT